ATATATTTTTTCATTATCATCGTCATGATGTGTTTTAATTTGTTTTCTGTTTTTTTTTTCCGTAAAGTTGTATTTTTATTAATTTTTATTATGCACAATTTATAATTTTTTTATTTTTATTTTTTTTTACATTTTCGTTCTTCAGTACCAGCAGATCCGCGTAAAGATTCAGTCCAAAAATCCTCTAAACCGGATTTTTATATCCTGACCCCAAAACAAAAATTTTACCTAAAGGATAAAATATAAACAAAGTGTTTATTTTTCTGCTGGATGACGTGATAACCAAACAGTAATGTTGGTCGTGTGTCGTCATGAGACCTGATTTGTGCTGATGGTAGTTCACAATGTAATGAACAGTAGTTGCATTTGAAATCTTATAGGGATTGTGTCTCAATCGTAGTTCCCTCAGCTATAAATCTCCTTCACTTTTACTGTTGTTCAAGTAACTGTATATAAGCCTGTATTACTGCAGGCATCTTGTTAAGCAAAGCTGTCTCTGCTTTGTGCAATAGGATAAATGCCAAGATCTGTACTGATATGGAAGTTGGATATACTTATGGACTTATACTTTATATTGCCTTCAAGACAGGCAGCCAATTAGATCTCAAGGAGCGGTAAACACTTTTAAACCGATGACATCATGCACAATATATTGGCTTCAACACTAATGTGATGGGTTTCCAGAATGGTTTATGGGCATTTATTTAAGGCTTCAGCGGGAGTCTGTGCCTGCAGTCATCTCTTGATTTATGGTGGGAAGTTAGCGATTCTGACATGACGTGAGACTCGCGCAGTATGGATACTACCTACATGCATATTTGTGAAAACAAGCAAGAATCAAACTGCGGGGAGAGCGGAAGTTGTTTGGCATGACGTTTGGATGCCGGAGCTTTTCGTTTCGTTGTGGCTGGAGGCGGTTTGGCTTCCCTGAGTTCAGGCTCAAGCTTGCGGCAGTTTCAACTGCCATTTGTGACTGTGAGTCCAGACGGAACACAAACACAGCGCTCCGTGGCGATGGTGCGCCACCTGGTGGATCGGCATTAAAAGCCAAATCAACAGATGGCGGAGCTGGATGCGACCGCCTCGGAGTCGCGGGGGACTGTGCATGCGGCCGCGGTAACTGCCACCTCCTCTGATGTCACTTCCTGTTCAGAGCGGCGCCACCTGCTTCAGTGATGGTTATTGTGTTTCAGGCTGCTCCCGGGGGCCCAGCCCACTGACCATGGGGGCCCAGGACACGCTCCCCGTAGCGGCCGCCTTCACAGAGACTGTCAACGCCTACTTTAAGGGAGCCGACCCCAGCAAGTAAGTGAAGGCATTCAGGCAGACTTGCGATCTTTATCGCCATTGTCATTATAATTATTGGTATCGTTTCCATCATTATTGATGAGACTTTTACTTAAAAAATGCTACTTTCAGAATCTGGCACAAAACAGCTCTACAAAAGATTGAGACCACAGCAAAATTTCCAGTTTCACTCAAAAATTTTCAGTTTATGGATATTCGCCTATATAAAATATACATTTTCTTGCAAACTCCAGCCTGGTTCTTCACTGCTTCTTATTGATGAAGGGCTTCTTCCTTGCTTTATGGGTCTTCAGTCCTGCTTCTAGGAGACTGTTATGAACTTTCCTAGCAGTGCACTTCACACCACTTAATGTTTCCCATTCTTTTGAAGATCACTCGAGGTCATCCTCTGATTTGGTTTGTGGTCGTTCCCAGTGTCTCCTGCTTCACCTTGTTCTTATGTACTGCTGTCTTAGAACCTTTGAGCCTGGAAGCATCCTGCCTCACAGCGTAGCCTCTGCCAGAGGAACCGGGATTAAACCAGGATTTATAAAAGCAGATTTTTTAAAAATATAGAGTGGTTTCTTAATTTTTTCCAGAGCTGTATCTTTGAAATTTTCAGTTTGACCATTACTTAATCTGATTTTAAGATAGTGGTTATATATTATGTACGATTATATATATGCTTCACTTCATGGCTAATCTCTGCATACTGCCATGTCTGCCCTAGAAGAGCACTTCCTCTAATGAATCATGTGACAGGAAGTGGCTGTAAACACCGCAATGGTTTCCCCTGTCAAGGTGCGTGGTGAAGATCACAGGGGAGATGGTGCTCTCCTTCCCTGCTGGGATCACCAGGCATTTTGCCAACAACCCATCTCCTGCTATCCTCACCTTCAGCATAACCAACTACAGCCGCCTGGAGCACGTTCTCCCTAATCCCCAGCTGCTGTGCTGGTAAATAACGGCTTAACTTACCACTTCCAGTCCTGATCCAGTTCAGCCAGGACCCTTCACAGGAATCTGATTTGTGTGTCTCAAAATAAAAGAATCACTGGTAACCACTATAAACTTGACTTAAAATGTCCTCAAAGATCAATTTTAAAGATAAGAACAACTCAGTTTTTATAGGAGACCATAAGAATACTCTTTCATTGCAAACAGACATCAGGAAGAATCATTTGAAAAGACCTTAGTGGACAAATGTATCATAAAAAACAAAACTGGCTAGCTATATTCTGTTTTTGATTCAGTTTTTTCATTAGACCAAAGCTGTTCCATAATAGTATTGTACTTAGGCAGCTGAACTTTCGCTTTTTAGTTAAATTAAGTTAGCTAACATTTACTTTCTGTCAGCGTTTGTTCATTTTGAAAGTTTTTTTCTTCTGGCATTAACTCCAGCTCTTCAACAAATGATTTATTTAGGTTTATTCAGGTTTTGGGACAAATGTCCACGAGCGTCATGATCAGTGTGGTCCTCATTAAAATTGTAGCAATGTTTTGTCCACCCAAAGTCCATGTTTATACTGTAAGTTAATATTAGCCAGAAGCAGTTCAGGTATGTAGTCGCACACAAAGTCAGCTTAATGAAAAATACGACCCTTATTTTGTGCCTGATTTCTCCCCTGAATACCAGGGATAAAATCCTTAGCATAGTAGCTATATGAAGGTACTCTAACGAAACTCGCTGCATTTCTCTTTTCACAGTGACACCATACAATCGAATGCCAACTCCAAGGAATTCTGGGTAAACATGCCAAACCTGATGACGCATTTAAAGAAGGTGGCAGATCAGAAGCCTCAGGCAACGTACTACAACGTCGATATGTTGAAATATCAGGTAGCGGCATATTATGGGGCACCATGCAGACATCTCACCTCACTCGGAAGTTTCAAAATCGGCAACAGCTCCCTGACACCCGCGAATGATGTGCAATGTCCCAGACATCGGTTGTTCCGCCATTCAACAGTGGTACAATAAGCCGGCAAGCTTTACTGACGCAACCTCAACCAGCACCAGGCTTGGGTGGTACCTAATTCTTAGTACCGTCACGCTTTCCAGACGTTAAACTGTGGTAAATGGTATTTCCACAGTATTTAAAAAAGCAACACTATTCTGGGATTTGCTGATAAGGGGAGAGGTGGGGACTTTTTGACCGATGTACTGTGCAAAAGTCTCAGGCAGCCAAAGACAATGATGTTCAAATGATCTTCATGTTGGTATAAAATAGTGATGTCTGTCAAAATGTGTCAGCTTAGCCATTTCAAAGCCTTTCCTAAAAGCACCCCAGTATTTACAGCAACGACGCAATATACCCATGACTCGACCAAAACCCCATCACGTTCGGCTAATCAATACCTCATTAAGTTAATTAACCGAGTTGATTAATTAAGTGAGCTGGTGGTGAAATTGAATAAATACGTGGAACGGCTGCGGTGCCCCTGCGGCGAGGTTTGGGAGCTAAAGCGATGTTCATCTAGCCATCCAACTAGATATCAGTAACTTTTTGGAAAAACAGTAGAAATTATTACTAGTTTTTATTGCGTTACTCCTAATTTGCACATGTTCTAATGTTAAATTGTGCTTTTTGTTCTGGGTAAAAGTGCACTTACTACCCAGATAAACAGCTTTAAACATTTCTTTGGACTGCCGAAGGCTTTTGCACAGTACTGTATGTATACCCAAAATAACATGAAAATCATGGTATACAGTATTACTGTAATACTGCCTAAGCCTAGCCAGCACCCAAAATCCCATAAAAATTGGGGTAAACGATATTACGGTATTACCTCCTAAGCCTACTTACCACACAAAATAACATTAAAAATAGCAGTATACAGTAATACCGCCTAAGCAGCACCCAAAATACGATAAATATCATGGTATACGGTATTACGGTAATACTTCCTAAGCCTAGCCAGCACCCAAAATACCATAACAATCACAGTATGCGGTATTACGGTGACACAGCCTAAACCTAACCAACATGCAAAATACCATATAAATTGTGATATACAGTATTACGGTAATACCGCCTAAACCTAGTCAGCATCCCAGTTCTCCCTCATCCGCCTCCCATATATGCCCAATAATCAAATCCGTATGTTTATGGTGGGATGACTGTCCATCGCCCATGTGACTCCCTTCAGGCAATCGGCTTCTCCAGGTGCAGAGTTGCGTGCCGTTGATCCCTGAGCTGGCAAACTGATGCGTATTTTCCCAGGTATCTGCACAAGGCATCCAGTCCACGCCGTTGAACCTGGCAGTCAGCTGGCGCTGCGACGGCTCCAGTACAGATGTCCGGATAGACTACAAGTACAATGGAGATTCCATGACCACTCCTGTGGCCCTCAACAATGTTCAGTTTCTGGTCCCAGTTGAAGGAGGAGTGACCAAGCTTCAAGCTGCTCTTCCCCCAGCTGTCTGGTGAGACAACCGGTCTTAACCACAGCCATGTCCCAGATCTCGCCTAACACCACCATCTAGCTGTCTGGGGGACATACAGCATGAGCCTCGGAACTGCTGCTCTTATGGTGATAGTCAGATGGTGACTCAATAGTAAAACTATTTTAAAACTTTAGGAGCTTTGGCCTATTTGGATTATTGAAGCACACCAAACACAATTTTACATATTTTTTTTCCATATACTTTTGTTTTAATGGTCTACTTCGTTTAATCTCCTCTAGGAATGCTGAACAGCAGAGAATTCTATGGAAGATTCCAGATATATCCCAGAAATCTGAAAATGGAGGTAAATCATAATAAGGGTTTCGCTTTTATAGACCAATAACGTCTTGTTTCCCATTTGCTGAAGGCCCCAATTACTGTACAATTTCACTGGACCATTTTGAATTTTCAGCTGTTTTAGTATGCAGACACAAATAATGTCTGTTTTTTGGATAATGCAGTAGTTTAGTACCAGTTTTTTGGATAATAAATTAGTATAATGGAATAGTTTAGTACAGGGGAACCCGGTCGAGTTTTGTCTGGCTTTGGAGACCTGATGGAATATAACTCTTACAAGTCTGAAAATGAGCCATGTTCTAAACCGTTTATCATACGTGGCCACCAGACTCAAACCACAGGTTGATCCTGAAGTAGAAGAGCTGGTTATTTGCCAGGGTTCACGTACACAAAGTCGGTTAATCCTGGCACTTAACCTAAATCAACAAATAAAAGTGCAACCATATTATACCTTTTGTGTACCAGCACCTGCTCCGATGCTAAGTAGGGTCACATGATGCGCACCTGGCCGCTCTCTCGTCCCTTCCCAGGGGTGGGGTCACTGCTCTGCAGGTTCCAGCCACCTGAGGGATCAGGCAAGCCGTCTCCACTGGCGGTGCAGTTCACCAGTGAGGGGAGCACGCTCTCTGGCTGCGACATCCAGCTGGTTGGGCCTGGGTACCGCTTCTCCCTTGTCAAGAGGAGGTTTGCTGCTGGTGAGTGCATTTCAGATGGGGCATGAACTCATCTCCCTGCTTGCATATATTACAACACCTTCTTACAGGTACATGAATTCTGTCGCCAAAGCCTTGGAAGGCAATTAGGGATCAGGTTACATTTTACACATTTGGCAGATGCTTTTGTCCAAAGCAACGTACGAGGTTTGCGAATATCGCATTACGAACACACATGCTGTCAAGGACTCAGGTACGCATAAGTGCAGCTAGGCTGAGCTTCCAATGAATAACCAGGAACAAGTGTGAGCAGGATTGACGCAGGAGCTACACAGCACCTTCTAACATGGCAAGAACCTAATAAAGCCATTCAAGGAGCAGAAGCACAACATTCAGGGAACGTAAAGAGATGTAATCACCACTAAGTAATCTGTACCATTATACCAGTTATTGTTAGCTCAGAAGTGGGCATCAGCATCTGGGATTTGAATTCCACCTCCACTCCATGTCTGTGGAGTTCTATCTGCGTTGGGTGTATTTCCTCCTTCCTTAAGCTATTTTGTGTATAATTGGCTTGGAGTGTGTGTGTGTGTGTGTGTGTGTGTGTGTGTATCCTGTTCTTTTGCCTTGTGTTACCTGGGGTCCAGGCCCCCATGTGACCCTGGACAGGATGAGCGGTCAGAAAATGGATGGATGGACTGACAGAGAGTTTGGTCCTTGATGTGATTCATTTGCTTGTACAAATCAAGGTTTCTGTCGATGTGTAATATATATCAGGATGTCCAAAGTTGTCCAAGCTGAATGCAGTTTATATATTTTTCAGGAAAATACCTGGCTGAGAATTAATCACCACTAGCTGAAAGAGAGAAAAATGATTCCATTGGACAATATTTGAAATTAAGAAGGAAGAGACTTGTTTCAGAACGAAACATTGACTCCGATGGCAACCTTTTTTAAAATTTACAAAGATGAAAATGTGACCCATTTAACGGGTTCTGTTGTGTGACGAGCTAACAAAATCGTTGTTAGTTTTATGATGTAATTACTGTGCTATGATGTAATTACTGTGCTATGATGTAATTACTGTGGATTACACCTTTATTATTTTTATGTTGTTATTCTTTATTTGCTTAGCAGATGTCTTTTATCCAAGTATTCCCCATACAGCTGATATAGGACTGCAGACAGCATAGTGCTTAAAGACCCAGACCAGGAACCTGAAGGTTATTGGTTCTAATACCATGTTATGTTGGCTATCGAGAAATTTTCCAGTTAAATATTTAGCTGTATGAGTGCATATTTTTGGATATAAACGTCAGCTAAGTAATTAGAGGAAAACGTACAGCTGGATTTGCAGGCAGTTACTGATTGAGCAGAGGAACTGTGCTGGTCCTGGTGAGATCCAGGAAGGGAACGCGAATAATGATCCGCTTATTGCTTGCATCCTGGGGGAATCACTGGGGAAATTTTTCGACTTAATGTGGTCTCCCTGGGACGCAGACACCTGCCGATCAGGTAAATCACGTAACATGACGTAACGTGGAAGCTGATGTGAGTTTTTATTCTTTTCTTCCCAAAAAGTCTCTTTTTTTTGTGTGATTCCACTCTCCTTCCTGTTAGCAGGGACGAGTCACACTGCGTTGGCTGCAGGTAGCCAGAAAGACAAAATAGCACGTGCTGCTGTTTCCGACATTTCTTCCAAATGACGTACAATAAATGTGATTTTCTGGACCCGATTCCTTGGTAGTTGTATATAAACACTCAGTGGCCACTTAATTCCATATGCCAATAATGTAGATAAAACTGAATATGTACGGTATTAAGGGTTAAGGGGCTCAGTTACTCTGCAACTAAGCAAGCTCGCGGCTAAACGCTGTAAATCTAAATTTGACATGCGGTGTGATTGTCCGTGCCAGACATGGTGAGTCCAGCAGCAGGGAAACGGCCCCCCCTCCGGTAACTGTCATGCGCTGAAGTGTCTAGAGTTTACAGAGAATGTTGCAATGAATGAAAACATTGAGTTAGGGGTCGTTCTGTTGCTGAATGCGCCATGTAAATGAGGGGGGGGGGGGGTCAGAGGAGAATGGCCAGTCAGATTTGTTAAAACTACCAGGGGGCCGCAGGGGCAAAAAAAACAACTTGGTACTGGTGTGTAGAAAGACATCATACATCAGCTTGTCAACCATGGAAGTGGTTCTGTATACAAACGTCCTGCCTGGTACTGCACAGGTACCTAATAAAGTGGTCACTGAGTGTTATATATAAATAGTTCCTTTGTATGAGCATAACTGATTTAGTAGGTGATAATAATCACATGGTGCATTTACTGGTGCAGTTTTCTTGGAATGACAGGTATACCAGTAAATGCAGATGTTCACACTGGGCTGCGCTAAAGTCAGTTTTGTGGTAGGGAAAACATCCAGTAGATTACTGGCAATGTACACATGAGGCCAAAAGTCATAGCGTTAGGTCTAACTTTAAAAAAAAAAACAAAAAACCTTTACGTGTTTGTGAAGGAACAAATGAATCAAACTAGCAGTGAGTGTAATCTACGTGTAGGGCCTCGTGCTTGGTTACTTTTGTCAGCCATCCTGTTCCTCAGTGAAGGCGGAGCTCCAGTTTTCTGTGCGTGTTTTTTTTTTCCCCCCTTCTTTTCTGTGGCTAATACTTGCAGATGTTCCACTGGCACTTGAAGGTCACTGTGCTCCCTTTAAGAGGCGTGCAGTGACACAGTGACACTGCGGCATGCAGATACAAGGCCTGCAGTCACAAATTGTGTAGTGACAAAACACCCACTCATTTTTAAAATTATTATTTGACTCATAAAGTGAATAATAGTGTCAGTATTTCATCTTTTTTAGGTATTCAAAGTGTTTCCCTTAAAAATGTAAAAAGTGTAATTTAAAATGGCTGTTATATATTCTAAAGGGTGTATAGTGGTTCTGGGTGTATAGTGGTTCTGCGTTCTGTCACATAGTGTTTCTGTTGTCATTTAGACAGCAGTGTTATACATTACCACACCTACATTGCAGTACTATATTTTTATTTCTTAATTGAACTTTTTATGTTGTAAAAAAAACTCAAGTGACTCTATTATTAGAACTGGAATGGTACAGTGTATCATTATTTAGAATGCCTAGGGTTATAAATATTTAAATTCTTTTTGTTATATGTCTAGGTTGGTAAACTGTATAGTGTAATGCTAAGATATAATTTTTTTAATTTATTTCAAATATATTTTTTTTATTTGAGTATAACAAAAGTTGGGGGGAAGAGGGAAAACAAAACAAAATATTTTCAGGAGTACGTCACGCTTAATGGCAGCAATGATCCTGGTGAATAACCAGAGTAATCAGCTTCATTAATAAAGCAACATTATTTTCATTTCAGTGGGTTTTTCCTCATGCTCTATGACTGACTAAAAGTCCCATTTTTCACCGTTAACAAAAAAAAAGAAGACATGAATTAATGGGTTTTATGTTAAATGTATAAATGGTCTCTATGAGATGGACAAAAAGGGAATTGCACTGAGGATTGTAGGTGAATTAAAATACGCTTATTCGACATTTATTTCCAGCTTGTCATCTGGATGGTGGAACATTTGTTATTTATGTCAGTAAAATAGTTTATTGACTGATGTCAGTGTGTAGATTTCACTGCCCAGATACTTCTTAGGAGAATCCGGGAGAAACTAACGGCATAATTTCAACCAAGAACTGGATGTCGAGTGCCATCGTGCGCTTATTCATATTTGTAATGTTGAAAAAAGAAAATACATGTTTTGTTTCTACATGTCCATGCATATATACATATAATCACACAGTGGTGTGAAGCATAAGTTAAAAGAGGGGGATGTAATTGGTGCTATCAAATTTAAGTCTTGGTTGTGGGAGGGGTGAAGGACCATGTCCTCCACGCTTGTGCCCCCCGTGTATGTTTGTGTCTACATATGCAATTTCATTTAAACATGACAAATGGGAAGTTTTTGCATATCCCCAAATATGCAAACGAAACTAGGCCTTTAACATTGGTCAAGTCATACAATTACACTGCAGAAATGGTTTACAAAAAAAAAAAATCGCATATAATACATGTTGTATTATATGCGGGTGCAATTTGTGAATAATTGTAATTGCAATTAACATATCTTCTAATATTACTGGGAAGTGTAGGAAGCAATCAAGGAAATTTTCCCAGGCCAGTGTAATTATAAATGTTGTCATATTGTGATTGTAGCCGCTGTTAGCTTCCTTTGTGTCTTTGGGGAACAGCAATGATTAAACAATATATAAATAAACTGTATTCGCTTGTACTAACTGAATCAAAATTGTTTTTAACGTTAGCACAGGTGCTTGCTTCACGTTAATTTAAAGCTTTTTTATTATTTTATTTCCAGTACTCTTAATTGTCAGGTCATTTACAAATACTTCTGTCTATAGACTTGGAACTGGTATTTTGGCCATCATCTACCATAAATCGATCAAGGAAAATCTCATGTTGCACCAGGAAAAATGTGTTTATTGTGCACTGTCTTGTCATAAATGCAGTTCCTCTGTTTGCTGTCAGATGTTGCTTTTGTTTTTTTGTTTTTTTTTGTGTTGCAGGCTGATGTTTGCATAAGTAGCTTAAAACTGCATGCACTATTTCAATACATTTTGCTGGATAATAAAGGGTCGTGTTACTGAGTTAGTTAGCTAGTTAGTTAATTAGTTTCATTTGCTCCGGTTACCTGAGAAAACAATTGTATCGGTTTATTTAAAATATTTGCTATTCGTCATTTTCTCTGTTTCACTGACTTATGGATAAACTTTCCACTTTATATTTCATACATTGATCTGTAAGCATGAGCCTATTAATTACACTAAGTTTTTTTTTTTTTTTTTTTGTACGGTTGTTTAATAATGATTCACTTTCATTATGAAACATTGAAAATAACCCCCCCCCCCCACACTTTCATGACTAAACACTGTATTATTGTAACTGTACCAAATGAACAACTGAATATGTTGCTATTTGTGTTTTACATACTGTGATTTGCACTCCATTTATATCTTGGTCATGAAAAATGAATTTAGAGCACATTCTTTCCTTTTATTTATGGTACCAATGCTTTAAATCCTTGTATTTGTTGACATCTACAATAAATTTTACATATCTGTAAAGTTATCTAAAATAAAATAACTGAGGGTTACTGATTTTGTTTAGTTTGAAAGAGTTACCAGTAAATTTCTCTTATAGAAAATTACATAAATCTCCCCCACTCTCTGTTTTTGTGAATTTATTTCTATTTATGAATGTGTGGAGAATTTCAACAAACTTACCCCTTGAATTGTGTTTGCCTTATAGATTATGGCAAACTACATCTCTTCTATACAAATGTATTTTTTCTTTTTAAAATGTTATTCATTTTAATTTTCTCTACATCTTATCCATTGCACAGGATACAGAATATGCAATTGTTTCATGTAAATGTACTAATGTAATAATTTTCCTTTCTAAAAGTTTAAAAGTATATATAAACAGAATGATATAATGTAATACCCGTTTAAGATGTCCATCATTGTAAGTTTTCTTGGAAATAAAGAGAAAAATAAGGAACATATGCTCAGATTTTTCAGACTGTCCTTTACTTAAATTATTAAAGCATTAATTTCACACACAATGGTTTTATGACGTGTGTAAACATTACTGCCCAGTCCATAAACTCCACTTCGTGTTTCTAATACTCTGAAATTCTAGTACCCCTAAGCAAAAAGAATTCTGTGCTCTGGTTTGCTCCCGCAATATATAGACATGCTATTTGGTGAATTGTTCTATCTAAACTGGCCACAATTTGTCTGGTACATGAACTGCAATATTGTACAAGGTGCCCTCTGCCTCATGCGCTGTGCTTCCTCGGATAGGCTCACCGTGACCCTGCACTGGATAAATGATTGTAGAAAATGGATGAATGGGTATACTTAACATCGCATACAGTGGAAGCTGCAATAAATGACGCAATGCAGGATAAACGAAGACGCAGTTTTAAGCTGTTTACAGCTAAACTATTGCTTGTATTTCATATATTTATATTTCATATTTTTACATTGATCGACATACTTTTACGCTTGAACTACCAATTATGTAATGAATCGGCCATAATGGGATCGATTTGATGCAGTTTTGAATGGGGCAGCACGCAGAAGAAGCACCGCCCTGCAAGCGTCACGTTGTCAAGACAACACAACACAAGCGCCGCAAAATACCCATACTGATTTCCGGGTACTTCTTTGAGCTGGTAAGTCTGCAGCATTTCTAAATTATAACTTACTTGCTGTGCATTTAGGACGCGAAGATACTAAGAAAATACTTTTTAAAAAGCAGAATTCTTATTTCTCCTTTCACGTGTCCTAATCCTAACACATTTAATGCCATTGACGAGTTTTTAATTGCTGAATGTTGGTATGTATTGGTATGGTATTTGGTATTGGAATATATGGGAATGAATATTACAATTTAAATTGCTTTAAAACCCGTAACTATATAATTCTAGGCTTGTTAAAATTAGCCTGATAACTAATAGGCTATGCTAAGTTATCCAGCACTGAGGAATGTTTCTGAATTAAAAATCCATTCCCTGAATATATTTTTATTTATTTGCTTTGTGAAGACCAGTTGACCCGCTACTAGTGTAGATTTTTTTAAAATGCGCCACTATTATTATATTTAAAGTAACAATATACTTATGAAAGAAGCAAATCGTGCAACAAAATATTTTACTTAAGTATTACTTACACATCGGTCACAACTCCATAGGATTATGTTTTCAGCTACAGATGTAAAAAAGTAACCCTTAATAAATTTTAAGCATTAATATATAACTTTTCTAAAGCACGACTGCAATATGGCTTGACTATGTGACTGTGTTACCAAGTAATTACAGTAAGTATTTAGCCTACTGTTTCAGCATCTTTGTGGTTTGTGTCTTGTGTGTATCATACAGGGAGAACTGAGGAAAGATGTCTGATATGGCGAAAGAGAAAGCCGCTCGACTTCTGAAAAAGAGGGGTAGTTTATCTTCACTAGGCAGTCATGAAGTTAGAGCCAAGGAAACAGCTGGAAAGACCAAAGAGTGAGTATAGCCTAAAGTAAATGTGATTTGTGGACTATATAAAATCCACAAATCACCAGGGTTGCCAACTACATGTATTGAGCTGGCTGCCGTGAGATTTTCAATTCGAGACAATAAGACTGCACAGGTATGCACACGCATTTACATGTATGTGACAGTTTCATAGACTTGTGAATAGTCTGTAGGGTTTGCAAACGGCCCCAGCGCTTTTTATTTTGCGAATTTTAGCTTTATAATGGAATAAAAAAAAAAGATTTGCCGAAATAATACAGATTTCTTGCGTGAGCGTGAGTCTGAAAGCCTGAGTGTCACGCCGGAGGCTGAGAGTTGGCAGCCCTGAATCACGCTTGCAAAGACCGTTGCTGTATTACTTTTGTTTGTTTTGTTTTGTTTTGTTTTGTTCTGTTTGACTTGGATGGAATGTTAGAGTTAAAATGTTTGTTCTCCTGTTACTTGTTCGCTTGTTCCATTATACGGGCTCCTCTGATCTGTCTCGCTTTGCGCCCCAGTTCTATCAGTACCGTGTCCTACATCGACGAGCCTGGTCAACACGATGACAACCAGAGACACGCGGTGCAGATGGAAAACACATACCAGCTCGGTAAAGGTCTCCACGGGCCACAATGCCGAGCAGTACTCCGGAAACCGGTGATGGTGACTGCATGGTCATTCCCAACGAGACTTTCTGCATGCATCTCCCAGGTCCCGTAAAACGGTTCCCAGCAATGGCGGTGAATAACATTTTGAAGGACGTCCTTACAAGTTACCTACAAGAAGAAAAATACGAGGCGGAACTGTGCAGACAGATGACGAAGACAATATCTGAGGTAAGCCATTACTCTAGAGACTGGGAAATTAAAAAGCAGACCATGTATCATATGGGCCTAGCCGATTAAAAGACAGGCATAATTGATTATTGCAAGGCGGTACGTGTTAATGTGAGGGTAAAGTGATACACTGTAAGATATTTGTCATATAAACGTGACTACTAAAAATCTGCATATGAACTAACAATCTAGCTAGGACTGCTCGATTATGGCAAAAATCATAATCACAGTTATTTTGGTCAATATTGAGATCACGACTAGGCCTATTTAACATGATTACTCGTTGACTTTGGAAATATCATGCATTTATTGAACTTTTTTTAACAAAGAAACGTCATTGTAATAGTGGATTCGCTTGAACTCTAAATATAATTCAAATGGGGAAACAAATGAGAATCCCAGTTTATTTGGAGAGTCAGAACTGGAGAATCATTGGGAAATAAAATAAAGAAAAATAATCGTTTTATCTCGATTAATTGGTTTTGATAATCGTTCGAAACTAAAGACGTAACTGAAATTCAAATTCGATTAATTTCCCAGCCCCAACTCTAGCTAACTTTTAGAGGTCCGGGCTACATTATTTACAGTGTATTGTAATATTCATCCGTGTTTAGAATGAATAAAATAACATCCTTTTAAAAACATTTAAGGTTATAAAGGCGAGAGTGAAAGATCTAATGATTCCCCGCTACAAGATCATCGTGCTGATCAGCATTGGTCAGCTGAGCGAGCAGAACATGCGCTTCGGAAGCAGGTGCCTTTGGGACGCCGGCAGTGACACTTTCTCCTCATACACCTTCAAGAACAGTTCGCTCTTTGCCGTCGCTAACGTTTACGCTGTTTACTACGAGTGAATCTCAAAAATTGTACTTATGTGGATGAAAATGCCTAACTCCACTCAGGCAGAGCTCAGACTTCTGAAATCAATTACTCTTAGCACTTTACTTGACAGGGCACCAATATAGTATCGTTACTCTTCATTTAACGACCGAGTTGCGTTCCTACCACTAGGTCGTTAAGCGAATTGGTCGGTAAGCGAGGACCCGCCCCTTACTGACATTTTAAGCATACCGTAGGCTACTGGCAGTGGGTTTGTGTCAACCACCTTTAGATACGTTTTTAATGTATAATATTTTTAGGATGTTTATAAACAGGGATGCACATCTATTAGGTATGTAGGTATTCACCTTTAAAGCGATACATGCCGCAATCGGTTGTTGTAAATGCACAAATTCGTACTGATTTTATGTTCATTTGCGCTGATATGAAAAGAAATAATGCAATTTAACCTTTATATGCTATTCGTACTTTATTTACGGTACAAAGGTTAAACTGCACGGTAATTTCTTGTTGTAGCAGCGCGCATTTGCGCTGTTGCAACTATATATTGCTGCACATATAATTTTTAAAGGTGAATGCGTACTTGCGTACTACTTCAGTAGTAACTGGGTTATTACACATTTTATGAGAGGAAATATCTCTAGCGATTTTTTTTCTTAGCCAGAGTATTCACATTAACTTTTCTATTTGATACAAAAAAATGAATTGCCTTCTTAGTTAAAATGGTGCAAAGATTGTTTAACAGATAGGCCGATTTAATATAATTAAATGGAAGAAAATCGATGCATAACCATAATAATATTTGCAAGCAGGCAAGACTAATAAAGGTAAGTTGCTACTCTTGTTGTGTTTAGGGTTTTTTCATTGCAACAATCTGTACTGTATATTTGTATGTAATGGTTTCTTGCACATACCACTAACTAATCACTTAATGCCTCTAGTCTTGTGTCGTTTCTGTATCTAATATTTTAGGATGTATAACACTTTTTTTGTTTCTGTTTGGCAGCTGTGATTATAATGGTGGTGTTTTTAGTCACCTAGTTACCTTTAAGTCAGATTTTTATAGTATAAAGTATTATTTTAAACCTATTTTCCATGTAATAAGACCAATATATGCCAAATAATTATGAAAGATAACTGTGATCCTGATATGGTACTATGCTTTAATACACAAAAGAAAAATGTTGATGTAATGGTGTGTGTGCGTGCGTGCGTGCTTGCATGTATGTGTGTTTATTCAAGCAGACAAATCTATTTTCAGGCTTTGTTACTATTGACTAATTATTGATTGTACCATAATAATATGACCGCTAGTACACTGAAATGTATAGTATAGTGAGCAAATACTGTGTATCTATTAAAAGAAACATCTCTGATACATTTCCAGCATTTGTGGCAATGTTTATTTGACATGTATAGCAAAAATACATGTATGGCGTACATTGTTTATTATAAATCTTAAAAGATTTTAGCCTTCTCTTGACACGAGGCACACGCGCTGCACCACAGAACTATCAGCCACGTTCAATTAAAAATACTACAAGAGTAAAAAACATTTTGTTAAAGGATGAACATTTGTTTAAAATGCCTGTGATCATCCATATAACGGATTTATCATTAAAATAATTTCAAAAAACTTTTTTTGCTTGGTTTTCTTGTTGCCTGTATGGATAATTTGAGAACAGATACTCTAGATTAAATTGGCATGTCTTACAAATCAGAAATTAATTTGACCATTTGTGTTCTTTTATTAATTATTAACAGGAATTTGTTATGAAGGATGCTGCTGTAGCTACTAGGATTTTCCTGGATTGCTGGCATAGCTGGTTACTCAGGACAGTCACTTAAAGTGCCCCTTAGCACAGGAAGGTCAGGTCACTCTTCCGACATCCCACCTGACAGCACACTGTGGTCAGCACTTGGTTCAGGTCTCTCCGGCTCTTACTCATCCCCTGACTGTAGGTGAGGTTCTCCAGGCTGCTCTGGTCCTCAGCATCACCGACTGCATAAGAAAGTGGACATAATGAGATTATTGTACTTACAAATGTAACTGCACAAATGATCCCACAGAATGTGCACTCCCTTGTATACCTACTTGTATACCTACTACAGTGATGCAAAACTTGTTTGTGAGTTATTTTAAAAAATGTATTGTTATTGCCTTATGTGGATTATCATTTATTGGCCGTTTTTTCTACATGTTGAAGCAATTCTAGTTTACAAATGTATCTGTTATCAAAGCAACTCATTAATATACTCTGCGGTATTCAGTGACACTGTGCCGTGGATATGGTGCACTCATATAACGTTTAACAAGAAATAAAATGTAGCTATGTTTCTGGCCTGCTAGTGTCGTAAAACTCTCAATCAACTTTGCTAGGTAGCGCCTATAAATTCGGGGCCCATTACATATATATTGCTGTAACATTTGGAAATAATGTGCGATTATTGAAAAGCTATGACTGGACAAATAAAAAAGAATCTGACCGTGTGACTCAGGCTGATCGAGGATTCGTCTCCACCTGGAGCCCCCACAGGTGTAGACTACAGCGCGGATGAACTCCCTGCCACACAGCTTGACAGCGGTCGCCTCGCCGCACGTGGTCTTCAGAGCGCAAGCCGCCCACAGCAGCAGCAGGGGGAGTAGCAGTCCTTTCATGGTGACTTCAAAGTTCCTCTTCGCCGTCGATGCATTCAAATGAATCGCCCCTTCCTTAGGAACACTGGCAGATGCTCTGTCTAACAACGGCCCACCTGCTCCATATATATCCACCGACCTTTTATTTCTGACCTTAAGGATACACCCCCACATCCATCCCACAGTTCATCCACCTTCTGCTCATACAGCCAAATAGCTTTATTTTTTTCCGCCAAATGTCTTTAACGATGCCATTTGTGGTTCAGCAAAGCACCTGTCGGTTTGGTAATCAGCACTTTACAGCCATAGCGTCCAACGTGGAATTAAATTACATCCTTTTTGGATGGAGTGTTGTATCGGGATGACTATCTAAATTACTTGATTGTTTTGACCTTAACTTAATGTACGTAAGTCTCACAGTGAATGATGATGATGATGATGATGATGATGATTTTTTCTGGAAACTGCACATGCCACTTTTCCAAGGTAGTCACCTTTTATTTTCATGTGTCATATTTCTGTCATTATTAGGCCCCTTTGTATTTTAATATGAATAATAGGAGAAAACGTCAATGAAAACAGTTATCAATAAGCACATACTAGCACATAATAGGATACTATTTGTTAGTCAATAGTGATTATATGAGTTATATACACTAGATGTTAGTTAGCAGCTTTATATAATTAGTTTTTACCATTTTGCTTTAAAACGTTTTACTGTTATTGTCTTCTCTTTTAGCTGGTATCTTCACTCCTTTTATTTGAAAAAATAAAAGAAAGGACGTGTATATAAATTTATCATAGGTTTTTTTATGAGCTGACGTTTTCTAATGCATGTAGTTCTTGTTTGCTGTCTTTTGTGTTTATTGCTCCACTCTGGCAAAGCGCTCGGTAATGATGGTAATTTAGAAACACTTAATTACCTTTCATCAGTTTTAAGGCAAGGCAGATAAGAAATGCAAGTAAATTCAAACCAATAAGTATATCAACAGTTCCATGAGAAACGTCCGCCTCATGCTCCGTATTATCTTAAACGTCATATTTTCATGTTACTTGGATTTTTTCTGCATAAATTAAAGGCGTTACAATATGAAATTGTGACGAGAGGTTTGATGGTCGCATTATGGACGAAAGCAGAACCTAATCTTCGATTTTATAGATATATTGTTCCATTGGAAACAAAGGAAAACGCAGAAATACTAGTATTTTCAGGGAGACTGCACCACCTGCCGTCCATTCTATGCAAATTTCTTTCCTTCCTGTGACTTTTAAAAGATTTACATGTTATAATATAAATGTTAACAGCCAGCTTAATTGCATAAACAGTTTGGTGTCCGATACAACCATATGACTACGGAAGTAGATATATTAACGAATATCTGAAAAAAATCTCTCTCTCTCCACATAAATGCCTGAGACCCAATAAAAGTAAGAGAAAACAATAAATCAATGCCAATCTGTGAGGAATAAAGAAAATATTCCTTATATAGTATACTTAGCAATTTTCGAAATGTTTAACACACCATACAAAGCGTTTACTAAGATCACCAAAAACATATTACACCCGAAGAGGTGCGAAAGCGTTCGTATCATGAGGGGAGGATACTTTTGCTTTACGCGTTTTACTATTCCCAATTTCTTGACTTTTCTTGCATTATCACCCATCGTGTATCTTGACCCTTCGTGTATATCGTAGCAGAAACCTTATTGGCTACACCGCTGTGACATCCAATCACACCACAGTCTTCAGGTAAGCAGTGGCTCAGCCATAGGCTGCGCTTCCTGACACTAGATCGGACGGAGCCGTGGGGATTCATTTGCCGGTGTTTTGGTGGAAACTTAGCACTAGACTTCAAGCCTTCAGTTATGGAGAAAGTTGTATTGGTGACTGGTGCAAACAGGTGACTTTTTATGCTAATTATCTACAACACCCACTATCAACTGCCTGTATTTAAAAATGTTGGAATATATATTTACTTTCTTCCAGTTGCATTTGCAAGAAAATTATACATAAACCACAGAGACGTTTTCTTTATATTAAAAATGATTTAGCTTAAAACTAAACATCGGTTTTACTTGAAATGTTTTGAATAATTTAAGTACATTCTTGTGTGTAAGAACCGGGACTGCGATTCCGGTATTTGTCCGTTTTAGGTTAAACTAGTTTTTGAGTATCTTTCGTTAGTTTTTTCAGTAGTAATTCACTCCTTGGTTTTAGTTTGACTGCATTGGACAAGCGCGTATAGAAAATGAATGGATGGATGTCAATCTGAAATACAAGCGTGATTTAGTTGTAATCGCTAATGACTAAGAGTTACAGTGTTGCACACTGCACAGATGTTTATCATTCACGTGTGTTGTCGCGCTGTGCAGTGGCATTGGCCTTGCCCTGTGCGAGCGCCTGCTGTCTCTGGACAGCCAGGTCAGTCTGTGCCTAGCCTGCAGAAACATGCAGCGGGCAGAGGCAGCCCGATCCGCCCTGCTGGCGTCCCACAGCGATGCCCACATCAACCTGATACGCCTTGACGTCGGCGACATCAGCTCCGTCCTCAGAGCTGCTCAGGAAGTCAAGATGAGGTGCAGCAATCCTGTTTCCCAACTTGACTATATGTGTTGTTTCTGTGTGGTGTCATCTACCAATGCATAAAACCAGGGTCATTTTATACTACCCAGATATAAAAGACTGGACTACATCTACCTCAATGCTGGGATCATGCCAGACCCTCAGGTGGACATCAGAGCCTTCTTTAAGGGTTTGTTCTCTAGGTATGCTCTTATAGTTTTTCCTGCCTCACTTGGTAAGCTTTCTCACTGCATTCCAGTCGCTTTACATCCCTGGTTTCCTTCTCAATGTTTCACCAGAGTGTATTTCTGCCTAATTTAATGGAATTTATATAACAGTCAACAGGGCAGACTGGGGAGTGATGGCTCTGAGGCGAGGGATCTGTGCCGGTGATCGGAATGTTGTTGGTTCTAATCCCATGAATGCCACGAGTGATCCTACTCTGTTGAGCCCCTGAGCCAGGCCCTTAACCTGCGATTGCTTCATGCTGGGTGTGACGCTAACCTACATCCAGCCCTGCAAGCAGGTCCTCCAACTTACAGGGAAAATTTGGGGGTTGGTGGCAGGTTTGACACTCCAGCCACTGGAAAAAACTTCACACTGTTCCATTCCATTCGAACTAGTGTTGTGCTGAGGTATCACCTCACTGCATGGCTGCACTCGGGATCTCATCCCCGAGGTGGTGGGTGAGGCAACAGGAAGTATCAGCATGCTCCTTATCTCCTTGTAATATCTTACAGACATTGTAATACTTCTTGCCGTAACTTACTATTGTTGTTTTTATTAGGTTTCATGCCTTGTTGATTTCATGATTTTGTGACATTTTAAAATATCCATCCATCTCTCCATCCATCTTCTAACCCCTTATCTTGGTCTGGGTCATTTGGCAAATGGCTGTTCATTCAGACTTACTCTAATTATGTATGATACAGGGATATCAAGCGGAGTCTCATTTTACATTTCAGGAATGTTGTCAAAATGTTTGCTACCGCAGAGGGCCTGCTTACGCAGCAGGACCACATGACCAAGGACGGCCTGCAGGAGGTGTTTGCCACCAACCTTTTTGGCCACTTTCTGATGGTAAATCTCTCCGTAAACCACAATAATCTGGTATCTGATGGTCTCACCACTGCCATTCCAGATGTGTGCGTAGCAATAGAAATGGAAACAACTGCTGGGTAAAAAGTAATTACATGTAAAGAATTTTTTTTATTATGAACAATTATAACTGCCAGCAAAGCTCTTTTTGGTGCTTTCTAGAGGTTCTCATGTAGTTCACCAATGAAGCACCTGATCCGTTTCCACTTTATCCACTGTATGGAAAGCATGGACTCCTGTGCCACTGAGAACCTTGAAGAACTCTATAAAACATTAACAATGTGATCTGACGCCGTGGAACGCACAGTTAAGTGGCCCTTAGGCTAGGAACCATTATTGTCAGTTACATGGTTATTCTCTATACAGTGGTGTCCAGGCATTATACGTCTAGTGCTATAGATTCTTGAAAAGTGCGGGTTCATTGTTTTAAGAGGTGAGATGGCTTAGTTTTCAAAAAAATAGTTCATTAAAAAATTCAAAAGCACACATGAGACATAAGCCAGTGCACCCCAGGGATCTCTACTGCTGGAGCTCTCCATCCCTTTATCTGGGCATCTTAGAGAGGCATCTGGCTGATTTGTCACATCACCAATTTTTTTTTTCTTTTCAGCTGAAACCGTGCCCTAACTTGACTCAGTCCCTAGTGATGGCCGAATGAAACTTCAGAAACGGTTTGCTGTATTTTTTGACCCCACTAGATGGAGCACTTGGTTTGCTTTGGGGCATGCTTTGAGCCCTTTTTTTGAACAAAGAGCACCATCTAGTGGGATGAGAAAATACAGCAAATGGTTCATGAAGTTTCATTCGGCCATCACTATCAGTCCCCAGCACAGAACCCATGATGCATTATTAATGTCACCTGTGGGAAGATTGGTTTCTTTTATCGGCCACTGATCCACTTAGGTGATCTGAGGTGTGAGACCTGCTTGCTGAGGGTATCATGGTACAGCTTGATGTCTCCTGCGTGCTCCAGGTGAGGGAGCTTGAGCCGGTCCTGTGCCAACCCGATCACACGGCCCAGCTGATATGGACGTCATCCAGCAATGCCAGGCGCTCCGCCTTCGACTTGGATGACCTCCAGCACCAGAGGGGCACGGAGCCCTACAGCTCCTCCAAGTATGCCGTGGACCTGCTTAGTGTGGCCCTGAACCGGCACCACAACCAACAGGTGGCGGCATTACATTTCAGAAAGAAATTTCCTCTCCTCCATTGTCATCTGGCTTTCTTTCCTTCACTTCATTGCTTTCCTTTTTCTCTGTTTTTAAAATATTCTGTATAAACGATGCAGGAATGCATTACAACACAGCCATGTAAAGCGCAGAGGGGCGACTTGAGAAAGGAGCTATATAAAAATACATTGAATTGGATTGAAATTAAGCTGCAATTAAAGTCACTTAGTTCTTGGCTTACGGTGCTAATATTGACAATAAACCCTTGAGTGCTTTAAAATCGCAGATACGTTTTTCAAATCCCTAGTTTTTTAGTTCTTTTGTTCCATTGCTATTTGTTCATTTTTAGCATTTTTTAAATGAAAAACCAGTGTTTGGATATCTGAGGCATAAAGGATTGATGTTCCTTGTTTTTTTTTTTCCAAAACGATATTTTCTTTTCTTCTGATCCACTGAGGATGGATTTCTCATCTATTTTTAACAGGGGATTTACTCATCGGTGATTTGCCCGGGATTAGTGATGACTAATCTGACCTACGGCATCCTTCCCTCCTTCCTCTGGACTCTCATCATGCCCATAATGTTGCTAGTGAGTCTTTTGCTCTCCCTCTATGCCAGACATGCATAGTAGCAGGAGCTCTGGTCCACTGAGGGATGTTAGCAAAATAGGATCAATGGGTGTAAATAAAAAATGGGGGGGGGGAGGGGGGGCAAGCCTCTGTGCCTGTGATCGGAAGGTCGCTGGTTCGAGCACATCTCTGGGTCCTGTGGGTAGTTTTCTTGAAGCCTGCATAAATTCAGGACGAGAAATAACTCTGTTCCTTATCCCGACTCCCCCACCCCCAAACCTTAACAGATCAGAATCTTCACGAACACATTCACACTGACACCCTACAACGGAGCAGAGGCCCTGGTACGTACTGATATGCTCACGAAGGTCTTATCAACGTGGACAGTGTCGCTGCGCTCACGGAGCACAGTGTGGAAGGATGTGGTCTACTACATGACTGTCAGTCCCTCCTGCTGTTTTTGTGCTATGAGACTGTGTGTGTGTGTGTGATTGCAGCTGAACTTTCATTTTAATAAGAATTGACTGTTCCTGATTAATCAGGATAACCAGTCAGAAGATGAATGAATGTTACTGATTAAACTGTGACAAAAAATTGGTCTTGACAATGCTAATGTTTACTTATTTTCTGAGAATCATTTGAGGAATGTTTGAAAATTTGGATTTCAAATATATTCATACAGAATCATTTTATTGAAAACCATACAATCATCACCGAATCATCACTTGCTGTTGTAGCAGCTGGAAGAATCATATAATACAATTGACCAGCACTGACGCCTAACCTTGTAGTCCCTTGATGTTGTCACTGACACGTGAAACGCTGTCCCTCTACTAGTGCTGGCTGTATCTGCAGAAACCAGAATCGCTGGATCCGCTGGCTAAATACCACAGCTTAACATCAGGGCTAGGAAAAAATTACACGGCACCACGCAAGGTGAGTATCAAAGGCACCAGCCTCACAATCCTGCTAATTTTGAGCGCTCATCTGCTCTACCCAAGCACAACACCAACTCGAATTAAGCGACACACTGACCGAAATAGGATTACACCGAACCTTTGCCTATGTCCCGACTACCAACTTGCTTGTTGAAAAACTCCTGCATGAACTGTGTATGACTTAATTTTCAAATTAAAAATATTCAGGTATTTACAGACGCTAGCCAGGTTACGGTGGTCTGTGTTACGATATTCCAACTTTACGATGGGTAAATGTTTTTCACTTTCTTTACATTATTCAATAAATTGCATGAGATATTCAACACTTTGTTATTAAATAGGCTTTGTTTTAATGATTTTGCCCAAAAGTAAGCTAATGTAAGTGTTCTAAGCATGTTTAAGGTAGGCTAGGCTACGATGTTTGTTAGGTTAGGTGTACTGTATTGAAATGCATTTTTGGCTTAGGATATTTTTCACTTTACACCAGGTTTATCGGAATGTAACCCCATCATAACCCGGGGAGCGTCTGTATCTTGATGAAGTAGTTGTTACTTGGGTAAATTCAATGTAAAAGTGTGTTAATAATGAGATACTTCAAAACTACTTGAGACGAAGATGTAATTTCATTGCTGGAACAAGTGAATTACTTATTTACGGTGCCTTGCACTTCACTGTGAAATCCAGCATCATTTGTTTTGTCCCAGGTCCATAGTGAAAGTAATTTATTTGAAAAACATTTTGCTGGAAACATCACATTTTTATGTAGGTTGTGAAATGGTCACTGTGACTTCAGTTTTCATTTCACTGTTGGCTTTTTCCTCTGCTTTTCAGATGGATGTCGTTGAGGGTACGTCGGAGGCTCTATATGACAAATTACTGAAACTGGAAATAGAAATACGGAAGAAGAACAAAGATGCAGAGCAACAGATTTCTGATCTCCAGCACCATCTGAATGAGGCGCCATAGTGTGAGACTTTACAGTCTAGTTCTCGGCTACTGTGGACCAGACATGTAGCCACTTAGTAAAAAAGACAAAGAATAAAAAATTGTTTGCTCCCGACCAGGCATGTAGGTAGGTACTAAAATAAATACAGACGCTCCTCTACTTACGAACTTTCAACTTACGAACTTTCAGACATACAAATGAAGAGGACTGTAAGTCCAAATTACGTTCACTGGGCTCCCGTTTCCTGTGCGCAACATCAATTTTTTTTTTCTGCGCGCCAATTCCGCCTAGTACGACTTCTGGCCGCTACTCCCTCCGTGCAGCAGCGTAGCGTGCGTACTCCCAGCATCCTAGTTATTTGTACTTGTGTATACCCTTAAAATGATGTTGAATAATGACTTATGAACATTTCAAGTTACGAACGGCCATTCGGAGCGTAACTCATTCGTAAGTAGAGGAGCGTCTGTAGTCTAACTACGAGGATCCAGTTCATTGCAGAGCATGTGCAAAATACTCACATCCTCAGTCATACTCTGGGCAGTTCACAGAAGTCATTTAGCCTAACTGCACGTCTTTGGAACGTGGTAGGAAATGTGTGCAACACAGGGAGAATGTGCAAACTCCATGCCAGTACTCTGGTCCAGTATTTGTTAATGGTTTCTGCACTTCATAAAATGGTGAACACAGTAGCCTATGTAGCTATGACATTCTTATTTAACATATGAGGTACCTCAGGTAAATACACTACATAGGCTCAGGTAAATACACTACATAGGCACAACAAACATCCTCGTACCATCCTCCCCTCCCCTTAATTCCTGGAGTGATAGTAATTACTTATCAAATAATTAGCTTGAGTAAAATCATAAAAGCTCGTCGGAGAGAATGAGTTCAGAGACGGTTTATGGACAATATCTGCTCTTCAATAAACTTCCCGTTTCACCCCAATCATTTTACATCTAGAGACTTTAAGTCTCAGACCTTTTCAGTGATTTGTATTTTATCATAGCTAACAAGATGACACCACATTGTGAAGTGTTTAATTTATTATTGCGCTTTTCCTGACTTGTGTGCCTATGTGTTCATAAATATAAACTGATTTTTCCCATGACATCGAGATATTTCTTGCTGTTGAGTGACACGTCACTCTGCTTTAATGTTGGTACAGTTGTGGGCAATGACAGACCAGTGAGGCAGGCAGCACACAGCATGTTCTCAGGCTACACCCTGAACAATTCAATATTATTTCCTGTGCACAGTGCAGGCTGACTATAGGACCTAAAGAGTATCGTGGATGAGGGATGGACTGGGAACAAAAAAACACTGTGGAAAATTATATCCCCATTGAATATTAACCCACATATACAGCAGCTCTTCATGAATTATTTTGGTAGTCCTGATGTTTATGTTCAGAAACATGGGGACCGTCTTCATAATGTTCAATGAATTGTTTTCCTGTCTGGTACAACAGCCAAAGTTAGTTCACGCTACAGACAGAAGTGAAGGTCGGGAATGACAGATCTGGTAGAAACCACTGATAGACACAAACGACGATGCAACTTAATTCTCCTTACATTTTTAGTACCGATAAAAGTGCACCGACCAATTGTTTGCTTAAGTTGATTGTGAATATTTAAGCAATTTGAAATCTGAGGCATTAAATTTTATGATTAAATGTTCAAAGCTTTCATCATTCTTAATTTGTCTGCTTGCAACGTTGTGGCCTTTGAACTATGACGGCTAGCGCTTGAATCCAATTAATAGCTACTACTGTCAGTGTAAACACCATGTCCCTAATGTTCTGATATGAATGTGATTTAAACGCTGTTAAAAATTGAAAATGCCTTGTTCTGTATATTTATATTATAAAGAAATGTATTCCAAATATTTAAATATTTCTCAATAAGCCAATTTAAGTCATTACTTTAAGTTAAACCAGTACTTAGGCCTAATGAATTTACCGAGAAGTATTTTCCACAAAGATAAAATGAAACAAGCTTATTTTAGATATACACTTAACTTTGATATTAGGTTTGTATGTTCTAAAGCTGTATGGAATCTCTAGATAATAGCCTGCTATATATAAACGTAATTTTGTATATAAAAACGTCATGGGGGATCCTCTGCAATGACAGACTACCGGCGGGGTCAAAAACTGCATTTCCCGGCGTCCTCGAAACTTCTCATTTCGAGGTTCGGGCTAATTTTTGCCGCGTCTGTCCCTTTAAAAAATTCTTACACGCCCCCCGCCCAGACCCGTCAATGAGTCCCGGATGCCAATCGCGCCGGAAGAGAAGAAGGTCTCTTTCCCGGCCATCTTGAGGCTTTACCTAGCGAGTTGGTCGCTCCAAGCCCCGTAGAATCGGAGGAGAATCCTGCTGAAGGGGCGCCATCATGCCCGGACATCTGCAAGAAGGGTTCGGCTGCGTCGTAACCAATCGGTTCGACCAGCTATTTGATGATGAGTCCGATCCTTTTGAGGTGTTAAAGGCTGCAGAGAACAAGAAGAAGGACGCGGCCGCTGCTGGTACCGCCAAGACCGCAGCTCAAGCCGCCAAGCAGCCGAAAAAGGAGTCGCAAAAGGACCGAAAGAATCCCCTTCTTGACAAGAAGGAGGAACCTCAGCCTCCAGTGTCTCTAAAAAAAGAGGGTAAGGAGTTCGTGGATCCAGTGGCGTGCTACGGGACTTGCAGCGGCTGGCTTGCAAGCTAGTTTACTGCGTATGCTCCCATGAGGTCAACATTGTTACTATTTTGATCTAGTTGGAGGGCAGCATAAAGTATTAGGAATGAACACTTGTTCTGTTGCATTGCATGAAACGTGCTCGAATTCAGTACCGAATATGCATTTAGTGCTTAGCCTAATAGCTGCCGAACAATAGCAAGAGTGAGCACGTTTAGTCTTGAGATTACTAGCATGTTATAGTCCTTTGATTGGTAAAGCATAGAATATATTATAACTAATATGATGGAAAGCTGCGCAGTTTTTCAAGAACCGTCGTTTATGTTGCATTGCATGTAAACCCGCCTATTGTGCTTCCAAAAACATGGCCGTTCATGCATTATGTCAGTGCAGAATTGAAAGGTGTGAAGGAAATAGCTATGGTAAGTCTTGTGGTTTTGGGAGGGATCTCAAATTGTCAAATGCTTTGAAGTGTCGATGGTCTTAACGACTGACAGACCGTGGCATCGATAATAACTAGTAATGTAACTCGGCTGTCATCCTAGCAATTTGCTATGTTTCTGACATTATGATGTACTTGTCAGTTTAAACGTGTTTTGATTACGACTGTCAGCTTGACTTGCTTGGCTGAAACGTGCTTGTCTCGTACCGATTCTGCCCCCGGTGTTAGGAAAACACAGGCTTTTTTCAGATGGTCAGGCAATGCAAAAACTGATGGCGAGCGTGCAGTCGCGTGTTTAATTTTTGCTGCGCTCGCGCGTGCAGCGTGGAAATGAGGTCGACGTGAGGCAGCGTGACGCGAGCCGATGTGCAGGCAGCTCGCGGTTCCGCGCACGCGCTTCTGTCAGTTACCTTCGCGTGAAGTTGCCGAAACTTCGGACCCCTGTCTCGATGGAACCTGCCGTGTGTTTGCTCCGCTGGTCGGCCGGTGCCAGCTAGCCCGGGCCGCTCGAGAGGGTGCCTATTTTGGCGTGCTTATTTGACTGGTTCGATATTCCTAAATACCAAATTTGGAGGGCAAATGAAAAGCTTAAACAGGTGCGACAAAACGCGCCGACGCCCACGGGATATATGGTACGACAGCTGGGATGGTCCTGCTGCCTTTGGCGTTTTTAGGTGTGGTGGGGAGTAAAGACAGTCCCACATGGGACCGTATTTTAAGACCAATAGCACACGTAGCACACGTATACAACCAGTATTTGGATGACTGTACCCAACCGTGCAATCGATCAGCATTAAACAAAAATTTGTTAGGAATACTACGAAATTTCTTTCAGTTTACCTTTTTGTTTAATACTTTTCACTTTAAATGTAGTTTCCCCTCGTGGTTTTGGAGTAGTATCCCTTCTGTCAGTCTTACATTAGTTGTAAACATGTTGTGATTGGTTAATATTAACCCAAGGGCTGCCTGTGATTGGCTGTGAGTAGCCTGACAGCTCTCTGTGATTGGTTGTCATTTCAGGCATCAGGAGGGTAGGTAGGAGGCCGGAGCAGCAGTCTGCCCACCCCGGTCCTCAGGGCTCCCAGCCGCAGGGGGCCCCGGTGGAGAGTCGCCCCGCGGACCGGAGGCCGGAAAGACGGCCTCCTCGCGAGCGACGATTCGAGAAGCCTGCGGAGGAGAAGCCAGAGGGTGGCGAGTTTTCCACTGAGAAGTGAGTTGATGGGACCTGTGACAGCCAGCGTACTGCTTTGCTGGGTTAACTTTTCCGCTGCCGGGAATTTTCCTGTAGTGTTTGTGTCCATGTGGATTTACTTGAAGGTGATAGTGGAAAGCCTGTAGTGATTTTTGTCACTTAATAGTACCTGGAGGACATGTTTTAGTGCTTAGCTTTTATTTTAGATGATTATCATTATCTGCCATGTTACCTCTGACCAAGACCAACTTGCACACTACAGGTATCTGGTGATCTGGTACGAGTCTGTTAAAGTTGATGTATACTTCTGCGTAGAATCTATCATAGGTAGCATACCCTCCGCTGTAGCCTGATGCCTGTAGTTACATTACCGGGGAGGTGCGCATGAGGCTGTGGCAGGGGTATGTGGCGACCGATGGAGTAGATTCTATGCAGGAGTATAAATCAGCCTGTATGGTGGATCACTAAGCACTGGAGGGTTCATGCAGATCTGCTAGCTAGTATGTTCAAGAAGTGTGTTCTCTGGGAGGTTGTGTGAGTGGAGGCAACGTTTGCACTGCTGACTTTTGGTACCTCCTTCTGGCAGGTTTGCTGGGGACAGGCCTGTTCGGGGGCGTGGTGGCGGACGTGGCGGACGTGGGGGTCGTGGCCGTGGCATGGGTAGGAGCGACGGCTTCGACTCCCGTGGAAAACGCGAATTTGACCGGCACAGCGGAAGCGACAAAACGTAAGTCATTCGTCGTATGGGTGCCCGCCGCCGTTCCCGGTGATGCCGCTTGTCCTGACCCTGCAGGCTAAGTGTCGCTTCGTCTTCGGTTCAGCAGCCTGAAAGCCGAGGAGAAGCGTGCCGGAAGTGGATCGCATAACTGGGGCACCGTTAAGGATGACCTGAGGTGAGTGTGTGTGCTGGGGTCGTGTGCCGTGGGCCCCCCTGTCACATGGCGGCGCCCCGTGTTTGTTGGAGGGGCTGCCTTCATCCTTCCAAGCGAGGATGGCGGGCTTCTGGCGTCTGAGTCGCATGGTGTGAGTGGCACGCCGTTTCTGCCCTACCTTACCGCAGCAGCTGATTGGCTGAGTGGAAGAAGGTGGAGTCAGTGGAGGAGGTGAATGGCAGGAGAAAGATGTAGCTGTCCTGTCTCTGGATGGGCACGTATCTCTGCAGCCTGTCACAGGTTAATTACTTTTAAATTGGATGATTAATTTTAACGATTCAAACATTTATTGTCAGGTCAATTAAGATGGTTGGTTATTGTAATGACAGTGGATTGTGATTGCAGTTTGCCACTTAAAGTTTTTAAATATTAACCGTGTTGCTGAAATTCAAATTCTGGAATTTGAATTTTACACTCTTTGGGGGTGGGGGGGTCTGGGGGCATGCCCCCCCACACAGCTCGGGGACAGGATAGCTGGGATTTTTGCAGGTTTGCTGAAGTTGGAGACATCCCTTTTTATGTTGCTTGGACCACCTGCCTAAAATATCCCAAGAATGCTAATAAATCATGCTCTTCCCATCCTCCCCCTGTCAGTCAGCTGTCACAAAGCGCCAGGTTTTTTTTTCTTTTTTCGCCTCAGCTCCCCCCCCCCCACATTTATGTTTAGTCATTTCAGGTTTCCTCTGACTAACAAGTCCTTTGCTCTGTTTCAACGCTTTATCCTTTCCAGCGAGCTGGATCAGTCCAACGCTACTGAGGAAACCCCCGAAGGGGAGGAGCACCCCCCCGCGGACTCGGAGAACAAGTGGGTGTCTGGGCAGCTTCCGTCTTGTGGTTTTCACACCTGCTCTCCCGGACGTCAGGACGGTGTTGCTTTTGCATCACAACCTCACCTCTTAGTCAGTCAGCAGAGGAATTTGTCCAGAGCAACCTTCATCAATTACTGTCACACGCTTCATAAGGTTTTAGTAACTCTACTAAGAAAATGGTTTCAGGTACGTTACCTATGAGTGCTTTGCGAACTTAATGGTTTTGGAACCAAAGTCTTAACATTTTCAGTCCTATGGCTCTTCCTTTGGATGTTCTGACACCAGCTGGATTCATTTGTAACTTTTGATGTAACTTTGATGCCACACAATTGCTAAGAGTATCGTAGACCCCTATATCGTATAACCTCTTGTCATCCATCGACCAGGAGAATTAACATTTGAGGCATCTTTGTCCATCTGCTATGTGCCACAGGGAGAACGAGGCTGAGGAGGTGAAGGAGGAGGGCCCGAAGGAGATGACCCTGGATGAATGGAAGGCCATGCAGACCAAGGAGCGGGCTAAGGTCGAGTTCAACATCCGCAAGCCTAACGAGGGCGCTGACAGCCAGTGGAAGAAGGGTTACGTGCTGCACAAATCCAAGAGTGAAGACGTAAGTACTGGGGCTTTTGTTTTTTTAAACTGGCTTCATCTGTGAACACCCTTTCTGTCTGTGATGACCACTGTCACATCACATCAACCGATGCACTGAAAAATAAAGATTTAGAAAAATTTCTACCTAACCTGTTGTCCGAAGGCCTGATTGCTCATGCAGTTCCTTCTTGGTGTCTGTGCTCACTCTTTGTGCGTGGGTTTTCTGTTGTGACGAGAATGAATCACTAGCATGCAGAGGCACCTATTGGGGCTGTCTTTGTCTTTTCTGACACATGCAGGGACCTGCTGATAGTTTAATCAACACTTGAGACTAGCTGTGTTCGCTGCCTTCTACCACGAGGTACTTGTTATGAGCAATCTGACAAATTCCTCATTGTAATTTGTGCTGCTTTCTTTTTTTGGAAATGATGGGTAAAACCGCTGATTGTTAGAATTTACTGAAAGATCGTTTGTCCTGGTCTAGTTTGTAGCTCAACCTGCATGTTTGACTTCAGTGCAGCTGAATTGCATCTGAGTTGTGGCTCCGTAGTGCTCCGTGTCCAGCAGTGTATGTCCTGTGTCACGCTGTACATGCTGCTCTACACCCAAGGACACTTGGAGGTACCTCCTGAGCCTGAGCGTATTATGTATCTTCTGTGAAGCCTGGTTGCACTCAAACTTCTGTTAGAAGGTTAACATGGATAGTTTCCCTTTGCCCTTATTAAAGCAACACACTTGAATAAATAAAGCACTTCGGAGGCACTGTTCCGGGCAGCAGATCTTGGCAGGTACAAACAAAGTGGGGGTGAGGAGGAAAGAGAGGGAAGGACAGTTTGGTTCAGGAGACTCTGCTTTGCCGTCCACGGTGTATTGTATCGTGCTGCTGTTGCTCTCATTGTGCTGCTTGTATCTCACGTCATTGTTTGCCCAAGTACTACAGTTGGTTCACCCTCCTGAATTTCTGGTGCAAAGGCTTTGTTCACTATTTCTTTTGTCAGGGCTGAAATATGCCAGTGAGAATTTTTTATGCATCTGCCCAGTTTGTTTTTCTTTTGTTGTCGTTGTTTGTCATCTTTGCACATTTTTGCCATCTGTCATGTTCTCACTGATCCATTCTGTTAGGCTTTCATTGTGGAAATGCGGAGTCACTCACTGGTATTAATCAGGAACCTGTTATCTTGCTTGTCATAATAATGCAGATTAGGTATATGAATTTTGCTCTTAAGTTTTTAAAATCTTTCTGGTTAATTTCGAGGACAGACTTCTTTCAGGGGTATTTTTGGCTGTCAAACTAAATTCCAAGCTAATGTTTTTTTTTTTTTTGTTGTTGTTGCTTTACAATTAACAGAAATGACGGTGCCTCAGCTTAACGGCGATTGTGTAGGTTTTGATTTGTGTTAGTGGTATTTCAGACTCCGTACTCATGGTTACGGGGCGCTGGTCCTCTCAGACTGGTGCCGTCTCCGCTGCCCGCTGTGTGTCTGACTGTTGGTCCTGTTTTGCACAGGCCAATGCTGAAGAGGCCTGCGGGGAACACCACTTTCGGAAACCGGCCAACGATATCACGTCCCAGCTGGAGATCAACTTTGGAGACCTGGGTCGTCCTGGACGTGGCCGTGGGGGACCCCGCGGCGGGAGGGGGCAGCGTGGGAGCAGCAGGCCGGTGCGTGCTGCCCGACCTGACAAGGTGAGCGGGCACAGGGACTCGTTTGCTGGTGCTCTGACTGTTCCGCCTTTCGCTTGGTGTATCTTGCTGGAGACTCCGTGCTAATTTTTTGCCCCGTCTGTTGTGTTCGCAGCCTAGCGGAGCTTCTGTGCCCAACGTCGATGACCCAGAGGCATTCCCTGCCCTGGCCTGAAGACGGCCTCCATTTGGCCGAACCTCACGCCCTTCCAGGCCTCCTCCTCTACGAGGCTTGCATGCTTGTGGAACCTTCAACTATAATAAAAAGACTGTCATCCATACCATTCACACTTGGACTGAAATTTTAATGGTTTTAAAAGACAAACTAAAATGGACAAAGGACTCCTGTTGCCTCACAGAAGCAAACTATCAGTAGAGGTTTTGTATTTCGAAACAAGGTAGCAGGGATGTTTTCATACAGTATTTTTTTTCAGAGATTATGCATTCTTCATTATCTTTTTGTATTGCTGCATTTCCAAATATAGGTGTGAAGACTGAGTTGACGGTGTTCCATGGCTTGCTTTCCTGTCAAGCTCCCTGCTGTCTGCTTTTTGAGTTTCCTCTCAGAAATATCAAGGATTAAGTTCTAGGTCCACTGGCTCAAAAAGCATAGAGAGAAGTTAAGGCAGCATTCGAATGGAGTTTCCATACTTTGGTTCTCATATTTTTAGATGATTAACAGACCAAAAGTGTGCTCCAGTTGTGAAGATATTTTTGAACTTCTATTTATGCTCTGTATTCCTCTGAATTTTGTTTGCCCCCCCCCCTCCTGGTGGACCATTAGTATTTGAGTGTGTGCATGTTTAAGTTTGTGTGTGGGGGCTCCACCAGCCCCCGTCGTGAGTGCGAGGCCTTGCCTGCTGTCCCTCTTGGTCCTTTGTGTAATTTATTATTTTTAAGAGATGTATGGCAGCAGTAGCTGCACCTTTAGAAGTGACGACTTTGTATCTGCAGCCGTCCTCCTGTCCCCTCTGCTAACCTCGATGCCATGTCTGCATTCTTTGAGATTGGAAAACCTGCAGGTTATTTCTTGGAACCAATGTGACATTGTGGCTCTTGGTTTTATCACTCCATGTGGTTTTGTGTGTGTGTTTTTTTTAATTATTATTATTATTATTATTATTATTATTATTATTATTTTATTTTTTTTTAACGAGACGGCAGCACTACTACTACTGCATAATTTACTGAAAAAATGCTGTTCAGTGTGGAGCGATGGAGCGCTACAATATGTATGAATGCTAACCCTGCTATTTGACCTCCTGTGTATTTAAGAACTGTCACAATCAGATTGTCGTGTGGAAATTTTACGGGGGGTGGGCGGGGGGCAGTGGCAGCCTTTGTCTGAACACTACCATAAGCAGAACCAAGCTTTGTATTTTTGTGTTGGGTTTTGTGTTGGGCATACTTGGACGATGTACGGACACGGGTGGTTACGACCGATTTTCTGTAGAACTGTCGGGTCCGGCCGCGTTGGGCATCTTGACTTTAAAACCCCCTTTCTGTGAAAAACACAAAACACCCCAGTTCTAATAAATTGCTTAGAAGTGTTCAAGGTAAACTGCTTAATGCAGTGTTGTGTGAAATGATTACTGTTTATGTTTTTGTGTTTAAGCTCAACCTGGGTAAGTCCATTAACTTGGGTAGTTATGCTGTCTCGTGGTAATCTTCAACGTCTTTGTGACCGCAGAAATCTGTCTGCTTTTATGTTATACAGGCTAGTTGTGAAGTGTCGTAATCCCAGGCTGGTATGTGCGTCTGTATATATGGGTTTTTGATTGACCTCCACGGTCAGTTTTGCTAATTGCGGGGCGGTGTGCTTGTGATTGGACGGTCACTAGTGCAAATCTCCCAGTCGGCAGAGTGATTCTGCCATTTGTCTCCTGAGTGAGGAGCTTACCCCCCCCCCCCCCCCGACTGTCTGACCCTTTCTCTCAAAAATGTGTCTTTNAGAGTGATTCTGCCATTTGTCTCCTGAGTGAGGACCCCCCCCCCCCCCCCGTTACTCCAGGGACTGTCTGACCCTTTCTCTCAAAAATGTGTCTTTGGATAGAGGCATCTGCAAAGTAAATATGATGCTAATTTTCCTGCCAACCCAGCCCCTCTTGTCTGGGGGTGCCATTTTTGAATAAGTGGGGTCACCTGGTTGATTTAAGCCTTTAGCATGATGGGTCAGTCTTTGAAGTTGTTAGTTTTTTTTTTTTTGTTTTTTTTTTTTTAAAGGTCTTTTGGTCTTGTTAATTTTAAGGACTGCTTCACATGCAATTGGTTTAAAATGTTTAAGATGATGCTTCAATTCTGGGAGTATTTTTTTTTTTTAATTCCTTGCATTGATACTCTGTGACATTGCTCTTTCACGAGCTTAGAGCTTTTCTCTTAAGCTAATGAAAACTATTATGCTGACATTTTCTTCTGGATGTGTGTCGCTGAAGTTGAACTATAATGTATTGGGCTCAAACATCTTTCACAATATCAACCCTGGCAAATACATTACCTCTGAAATTGATTTTTTTTGTAAATTATTGTTTTTTTTTAAAATATGTTAATATAACTGTGAAGTGGTCTAAAATGGAAAGTTTTATTTTAACTAGTTGGTGAGTTTAAGCTTACAAAGTAACAATAAGGAATGCAATTAGAGGTTTGCCTGAGACATGCTTGGGTTTAAGCAGTATAAGCAAAGCACAGATGTTACACAGTATTTTGGTAATGCAGGTTTACCCAACATGCCTGAGATGGACTCTTTATAACCCTCTTCTTGCTTAGAAAATGGCCTTGCTTGCTAGTACGCTGGTCTAGGGCCTTAATTGCTCCAAAACCCAGTCTCACCTAAGGCTCTTCATTGCAGTTTCCCCAGTGTAGACAGCTGTGATTGTTGGATTGTGTTGTACAGTTTATGGAAAATATTTGAAAATTTCCAAAATCGCACACTTGATTTTAGTCAGATTTTAAAACGTCAAATTTGAATGTAAAAGTTGTATAAAACCATGTCTGGACTGTTTTTTTTTTTTTTTCCTTTTTTTTGTGACTAAGGAATTTTAGTAGTAAAAGGTTTTGACCCTGTCATTGTTACAGGTTCTTTTGGTAAGTTGTTTATTCTTAATTTTGCCCCTATTTCTACTGAAAGATACATGAATCTTGCGTGTATAAAATCCCTTATGCCACTAGTGTCACTCCATTCTAGTGTTGCAGTGACTTTAGTATGAATAAATGGCCAATGGTGGGTTTTGTCATTTCTTTGCCTGATACTGATCCATTGGTAGTTTTGCCCGATGGTATTTGGGAGGTGCTCATTTGTGTCGATCCAGCATCTACGCCCCCCCTGTGTACCCCTGAGATTCCTTCCAGCGCCAGACGTCCAGTCTAAAGCATTTCTGAGGCTGTGCTGCCGTTAGTTTTTGATGGCGCTGTGCAGTGGAGTAGCTGTTCCCTGTAGGTTTCTAATCGCTCAAAGGCTTTGGGAAAACTGACTCGTTGAGTTAACTAGAAATGGGTCTTTCCCTAGCCAGTAAAAAAAATACATTATTTACATTCTCCGGATGTTTTAATACCTTAAGGAATGGAAACTCTTTCAATCACCTGTGTGTTCACATGTTTATTATGTCTGTGAAAACATTACAGTTTATCTTCAGGTCATCCAAAGTCAGTTGTCCAGTACAGGGAACCATATCCTCCATAAAGGGGCTCTGAGGACAGGGGAAAAAGTCATTCAAGCAGTTCTCGTCGTCCTCGTCGTCTTCGCCGCTTATGTTTTGTAGCCCATTTGAGGAGATGTATTCGACGTTTGGGTGGGTATAGGGCTTCGTGTCGTGCTGGGCTGGAGCAGAGTTGTCAATGTGGGAGTGCATCAGCTTATCTTGGTTGAAGTCCCTGTCTGCTGAAGGACTCTGGCTGAAGCTTCGAGGGCTGCAGATGAGCTCTACATCTGAGGACGTGGAGCCAGGAGTCTCGTGAGTCTGAGCGGCCTCGGCATCCTCCTGTATCTCCACTGTAGAATGTTCTTCGGTGCTGAGCACTGCGCTCGCGTTAAACTTATATTCCGGTAACAGCTGACCCTGGGGAAGTGACCATATTACATTAGAGTGCTACAGAACATAGGAAGTTTATTTCTGGTCGTCTTCTTTTTTGGAAACCATGTTAAATGCATGACTGCTACTGTAAGCCTAATTCAATGTGTGTGATGATGCAAATAGGCCTAGTTACAGCTGCAACAGCATTTACTCTAAGATTAAGATGGAATGTACAAAGGGGCAAACAAATTTCTAATTCTGATATGAGAAATGAGGCTTCTAAACTTTCAGATTACTCCCATGGCGTGGAGTAAACAGGGTCTCCCAGCTTGGTCCACAGGGGCCTACAGATGTTCCATGTTTTGTTCCCTCTGAGTTCCCTGCCAAACTGTCTGCAGGTTCCTGAGGACCCGGTTGGGAGACACTGGAATAAACTAGCTGATGGGAGATGCAGGAAACGAAGCCATCGCAAAACCCCGCTTCCTTTTGCTTTTCAAAGCTGTTTCAGCTGTGTCAGTAGCCTTTGTACCTTGGCTATACACTCCTTTGCCCAAATGCTGTTGGCAGGATCCGGAATACTGTTGTATATCATCCGAAAGCACACTGTGACCCTGTGGGCATGAGAAAATCAGGTAAGTCAGTCAGGCTTATATTAAAGTAATGAATATCGGATATTTGTTGTTATGAATTTGTGCCACTAGGGGGCAGCAATTCTAGTGTTCTAAAAGCATGTGCTCCATTATCTGAGATTCTTGTTGTGTTTGACGTGTACGCGACAGAGAGCGGCAAACGAGCTGTGCGGGTGCATACCTTTGCTTCACAGTGGGAATTCGGCAGACGCACGCCAGCAGGAACGTGACACTGGCGAAAAGTCCTGTTAAGATCAGAACCATGTCCATATTCTTTTCGTTTTCTGGAAGAGAAACGTACATAAATGTCTGAAGGACTGCTGTGTTCAGTTATTGTAAGTGTCAATAGCCCAAACAAACTGTGCTCTGCTAAACATGAGCTGCTGTAAGCCATTGGGGCACTAGGAATTCATGCAGATCCGCTCCCCTTCATTAGATTCTCACTCTTAAAGTCGATGAATATATGATTGGTTGGTCCTGCTGGTCCTTCCTCAGCATTGGCCCAAGCTGTCATCCACAGGTCATACTCTCCTGGCAGTAACTCCTCTGTGGTGTACTCCTTGAGATATGGGTGTACTGGACCTGAGCAAGAGATCCGTCCATTTTTAACCAAAGTCTCCTCCTTGTACAGCCTTAGGTTCTTGATTTGTTAGGAAGTTGTTGGGAAGTGTAGCTCCTGCTGCCATCCTGCTCCCCTGGGCGTTCATTAGAAGCCCAGTCTAGCTGAATCTGCCTAATCAACTCCTTGGCGCCATGTAAGTTTGTAATGCGCTATTTGCCTCAGTTTTACATCACTTTAAACTTATAAAAGCTTCTGCTAAATATATAAAATGTAAATCCATTATTTCATTCACAATAAGGGATGGTAGAGAGGAACTCTGGAATTAAATTTAAATCCACTCTTCCACCACATGTTTATATAGAGTTTGGTCCTCATTTTATATCACTGCAGATACATCCGTTAATTTTCCATAACCATGGATACGGTAGTTAATGATGTATCCCAGAACAGGCTCTGGAAACAAAATGCCACATATTATGGTTTTAATGCCCATTTACAATGACATGGAAATTTCCAGTGGTGATGACTGTATAGAGACAATAGTTACCCAGACCGAAAGTTAATTTATCTTTCATACAGGTGAACAGAATTTGCCTTCCCTGGAATGAAACCAGCAACCTTCTGACTAAAGGTGACCTCATCCTGTTTCCTTACCAAACCGCTTCTCAGATGGCTGACTTCCGCTGCTCTTCAGGTAGATGGTGTAGCCAGTGACACAGACACCCTCGTGCTTCCAATGCACAGTCACTGTAGCATTATCCCAGTTCTTCAAACTGGTTTTGGGTCCCTGGGTTGGAACTGGGAAGCACAAGTCATCGGGGTTCAGGACCGTTTCACATTATTTTCATAAAACAATGGAAAGAGCTTCACATGCCAGAGACCTCACCTGATGGCCAGGAGCAGATATTGCGGAAGTCCTCTTTTCCGACGCCATGCGCGTACAGAGCGTATACGGCACCGGTGTAGCACCTGTGATGTATAACATCTGCACAGACAGGAAACACATGTTCAGCATGCTGATCATTCCTGCCCCTTAGGTCTGGGTCTCAGCTATGTCCGCAGCTGATCATTCCTGCCCCTTAGGTCTGGGTCTCAGCTATGTCCGCATGGCTGACCTTTCACTACCATTCGGAGATCTCCTGGAGCAGTCCTCTTCCATCCGAGGTCCTGACTCTTGGCGTCGGTTGGGAACCATTCCACCAAGTATCCCAGCAGGGGCTGCACAGTGTTGGGTTTCTGCCAGGAGATGGCGAGGCCCTGCTCGCTGATTGGTTGGCAGACTACGTTCTGAGGGGAGGGTCCAACTAGTTAAAACAAAAATAAATCGCAAATATATCACATCCCACTAGCATCAGTATCTATTTACCATTA